TGAATCAAATGCATAGGAAGGTGCTTGTACTGCTTTGTTCATCCAGCCCTGCACCTTCCTATGCATTTGATTCACTTGTCCTTCAAAAGGGCAGAAGTCACCGGTTGCACCGTCAAAAATAGCTTTGACAATGTACCACAGTGCATCCTGTAGGTAACACATTCTGACCACAGTGCATTGGTGGTGGAGAGATTAGACATTTTAAAAGGGTGTAAACGGGTTGACCGTGCAGCTTATCAAGCACGTGCAACCACCTCGGCCATTCCATTAAACTCTACAACTTGTGCCTTGAAGGCAATGGAGAGGCAGCAGCATTTACAGACCTGATTCAGAACACAGCTTCTGAATTTGTCCTCCTTTGCTGTTCAAACCACAGCTGGGGGCATCATCCTTCAATGCTCTCCAGTTGTCACGACTGTATCATTGTTGTTAAGCACAATGGTGGGCACACACGTCACCAAGGGCTGAATTTTGCTATTCCGAATCAAGCTGGAATGGGAGGCAGTCAAGAAGAAAATGGCAGCGATATCTAAGTGCTGGAGCAAGCAGCTCAACAAGTGAATTTCTGCTTCTGTTTGTCAATAGTTTTTGAGAGGTCAGAGGAGAGGCTAGGCTTGGAACTAACCTGTGCCTAATAGGCACATCAAGCTACAGAAGGGTTCATTAAAAGGCTGCCTTTGAAACAGTGCAACTTTGGTCAAGGCAATCGGCCTTTTGGAGCCCTCATCTTTCAGAGGCTGGTGACCAGCATGCAGCAAGTTGAAGGGAAGTCAGGAGAGGATAAACCTTTGAGTTCATGGCATGGTACAAACACAAGAGTCACATTCCTTGCTTACAGCAGTAGACAATGAGGAAAGAGTAGTAGAGCTAATGAAGGCATGGGAATGGGCATACATGTGGCAGTCCATGTGGGGGTCAATATTAAGGAAGAAATAATTGTGACATCTTGCAAAGATTGCCTTAAACCTCCAACAGTAAGGATGCACAGCAATGTTTTCTGGGGTACTGGATTTGGGAAGGGCAGAAGGGAATTTACCAAGATAACGGCACAGGTTATTTATATTGTTTGGAAGCAATTCTACTGTATTTCTATATAGGAACACTTAGAGAATCCTTTTATAGGTGCTCTTTTACCTTGCCTTTCTCAGGAGGCAGACCCCCTCCATTCCCACCTAATTCAAAGGCAGACCCTTAACAAATTAAGGCTTGAATTCCAGGAAAACTGGCTGCCAGCTGCACTTGTGACAGAGGTAGGTTTGCGACCCAGAAGCAAAGTCTGCTCGTTCCCCATCTCAGATAGGAGGCTCCAGCTCTAAATGTCCAAATGAAGGAAATGAATTTCCTCTTCTGAACGCCTCAATCTCCCCTATATTTTGCTTGACTTTGCAAAATGTCATTTTCCACTTTTGTAGCAAAGAAAATCCAGTTTTAAAGTATATATTTTTTAAAAAAGCAGACTCTAATTTGGCAAAGTGAATTTTAAATCTCCTTTATGGAATCAGAATTTGGTACTTACCTCATTTGGTTCCTCACGTTTCTCCCTCCCATCTGCAACAGAAAATTTGCTTGCCTGCAAACATCCCCCAAAATGAAAGAACTATACATTTTTTAATGCCCATGAGCTAAATCACGAAGCCATTACCTTGCCACATTTCGGGCACCTTCCTTTTATTGCCTAGTTATTCCAATCAGCATAAGCATGAACGATTCATGCCACTATTTGAGAAGTAGTTTGTTCGAGAAATGTACTGTCTTGTATTGTCTCACGTGAATAATTTGAGGAGACAGAGTGCATACATCTGCCAAGTTATTTTAACTGAACATTACTACAATTACACGTCTTCCTTGAGAGGTTTCCTTGCCTAGTGCTGGGGAGCCCAAAGCATTAAAAAAAGTTTCATTAAGAGTGAGACCGAAACTAATAAGATTTCAGGCTAATCCATATTCAACATGTTCTGAAAGAATTGGATATCTATGACATTCTACCACACTAGTGAAACAAATGAAAGAGTTTTCTAAATAAATCCTACAACATTTGTAAATATTTATAAAGATTGATTCACTCCACCTTCCAACATTTATGGATCCTTTAAAAATTAGGAATAAAGGATCAGAATCTTTACCTGAAAGAAAGTCAGTTCTGTCACCCTTGTGCATCATGTTTTGTTGCCATTCATCCACTAGCAAATAATCTCGAGTTAATAAATATAGCCTAACAAACAAGAGCAAACACATTATATCCACCCACCCTCAATAACCAGATTACTTCACGTATTTCACAGTACCTTGAGGAACTTACTGCTGCAGAACAGATTTCAGAAAGATATTGCCTTGCCAAAAGAAAAGCAATCACTGCACTTCACAAATTAGTTTATTGTGGGGGGTTATTTGTGTTTTGCTGAGCATTACATAAATGCAATCTACATTTGCTAAACACAAGTGCACCTGTTTAAGGTAACACTTCTTCCTGAAGATTCTCAAGTTGATATTAATTGGTAAACCTACAACTGCAGATATTGGAAATGGACTTTTTAATACCTTTTCATTTTTTTTTGGACTTCACCTTATTTTTTTAATCACATACCAAAGTGCCCTGAAATCTGCCCGGCAGATATTCAGGCTCTCAATGTTTACAAGAAAAGCATTTATACCTTCTCAACACAAATGTCACTTCTTGTGTTTAGTGTTGCTATATCAGTGGTTTGCTAAGCTTAAATTTTGAAAGGATTTTCAAAAAAACAAACAGGTAACTTAATTTTGATCCTAGAAAAAAAACGCCTATTAAAGACCTCCATCTTATTTACATCCAAGTATTGCACGCTTGTGAATCTGCTATTGCTGAAAGAGGCACCAGTGGTTTTGCAAACTTCTCACTGTCATCATTCTGACATATCCAAACTTCAATACTTACGCAGAAACAACTAAAAACACATTTAAAACACTCACGGGGTCAAACTGATAAAATCAGTGCATTTTGTTGTGTAATCCAGCTTTTAATAACCTTGTGATAAAAATTGTGTAGAACTGATCAAGGATACAACCTTCAACATGAAAAAATGTGTACAGAGTCTGGATTTACAGCATCTAAACTGTATAAAGCTCTTGAATACGATTAAGTAAAAAAAGGTCAATTCTAATTATGCAATCGCCATATATCAGTAGCCCAGGTTATATTATTGTGCCCTGGCAATCGTGTCCTTGCATCCATTACATGACAGACACATGTATTGAATTTAAAAATGTTACAAGTGCGTTTTAACAATTGTTTTAAGAAAACGGGTATATTTGGCAAGATGGATGTGCCAGTTTCGCATTACAATCGGCCTATCTTTGGGGAGGGGAACTGAGAAGGCAGAAGCACAGACCAAGGAGAATATGGACTGAGCAACAGGAAAGCAGGAGAAGAGCAAAAGCACACCTGACTCGATTACCCTTGGACAGTCGCTCGATGTAAATTCAGCCTGCATGTCAGACCCTAATTAATTAGTTATTTATAGAACCGGTTGAGAAACACCGTACAGGAAATAATAAAAGACAGGAGAAACTCTACTGCATTTCAGAAAAATGAATATTCTTTCAGGGATGGGAGCACCACAAGCAAAGCCAACATTTATTGCACATCCTTAACGCGCCCTTGAACTGAATGGCTTGCTGAGCCATGTCAGAGGCTAGTTAAAAGTCATCCAAATTGACTGGATCCAGAGTCACATGCAGCCAGACCAAAAGACAGAAGATTTCTTTCCCTCAAGGGCAATAAACCAGATTGGTATTTACAGCAACTGATTTGTCTGTCATGGTCACCATTTGAGATTAGCCTTCAATTCTGTATTTTAATTAACTTTAAACTCCACCAGCTGCCATGGTGGGATTTGAAACTTTGCCTACAGAACATTAGAATATGTCCAGTGCTGACTCAAATGGTTCAAAAGGGCCCTTTGCTGTGCTGTAAATCTATAACTGGTCCATGAGTATTATGCTATCATAGCATCTAAGTTAATTTGGGGAGGCAATGGCCTGGTGATATTATCGCTGCACTGTTAAGCTAGAGACCCAGACAACATTCTTGGGACCCGGGTTCGAATCCCACCGCCACAACAGGCAATGGAATTGGAATTCAATAAAATATCTAGAATTAAGAATTTAATGATGACTGTGAATCCATTGTTGATTGTCGGGAAAAACCCATCTGGTTCACTAATGTCCTTCAGGGAAGGAAACTGCCA